CAGGTCTTAAAGGATAGCAACCTTTGACTTTGAGAGACTGACAGCTATACGATTTAGTACAGTAACATTGTTTCTCTCTATAGCCACCGTGCGCTCGGGATTGCGCCAGAGATGTCGCTTCCGAACGGCATCTCTGAGCGTTATCTGGGGAGAGGAGAGTGTCGTGAGCGTAGAGCATCAGGTAGCTCAATAGTTTAGAGCAGTAGCTCGGCAAGCGAAAGACCCGGGTTCGAGTCCCGGCCTAGCAGAACCACGCTCTCGATATTTTTCTCCCTCTGGAACGAAAAAATACGCACATCTCGAACGCATGGCGTTTTAACCGAAAATTAGTCGCTGTATGCGGAGAGAGATATTCGCGTTTCAGTTAGCAGAACGCGCTATCAGGGCCACGCCAAAAATAAGGCTTGCACTCTTTTTGGCGTGGCCCTGATAGCGCGTTCTGCTAACTGAAACGCGAATATCTCTCTCCGCATACAGCGACTAATTTTCGGTTAAAACGCCATGCGTTCGAGATGTGCGTATTTTTTCGTTCCAGAGGGAGAAAAATATCGAGAGCGTGGTTCTGCTATAGGCCGGGACTCGAACCCGGGTCTTTCGCTTACCGAGCTACTAAATTCTAAAAAGCTCTAAACTATTGAGCTACCTGACGCTCTACGCTCACGACACCTTATGTTGGATCAAACCACAGGCCCAAGCTAATTAAATTTAAACTATACGTTATGATAGGAAATAAAATAAAAAAAAAAATATTGGAAACATTCAAACCTTGACAAATTTCGACATGTATATGTGTAAATTCCGTACGTATGTGGATTTCACTGCTGCCACCTCTTTGGCAACGTAAGAAAGAGAGAAATGGAGAGAGAGAGAGAAAGAGAGAAAAAAAAAAGTTACGTACTTAAAGATAATATTCCGACGACTATACGGAAATGTTATACATATATATATACAATTGTCGTATATGTATAACATTTCCGTATAGTCATCGGAATATTATCTCTAAGTACGTAAATCTCTCTCTCTCTCCCTCTCTCTCACACACACACACACACACACACACGATCAAATACAATGGACATTATTAACTCTTTCGCTGAGGAAGCCGTATATGTACGCGCTCAAAAAGTAGCCTCTTATTTGCAAATGACATATACATAAGGCCTGAAATCCACATACGTACGGAATTTACACATATACATGTCGAAATTTGTCAAGGTTGGAATGTTTCCAATATTTTTTTTTTTAATTTATTTCCTATCATAACGTATAGTTTAAATTTAATTAGCTTGGGCCTGTGGTTTGATCCAACATAAGGCTTGCACTCTTTTTGGCGTGGCCCTGATAGCGCGTTCTGCTAACTGAAACGCGAATATCTCTCCGCATACAGCGGCTAGTTTTCAGTTAAAGCGCACTGCAACGAAAGAGTTAAATTGAGCACACAATTCGGTACGATCAATCATCGTCGTGTCGCCTTAGAGGTGCAGCACACCTTGGTCGTGGCTGAAATGATTTTGATGATGATGATGGTGGTAGTGATGGTGTTGAGTGCCCGACGACGCAGAGGCGTCGTCCTGCATCGTCAGACCTGTTAAATCGACGATCTCGTCCGCTTCCTCATCGCTACCGGCGCTTTGTGTAGATTGGCGGCTCCCAGACGATAATTGACTGTTACGTGAGAATGAGCCGCGGCGAGGTGCGGCCAACGCCGCTCTCTGATTCGCTGGCTTGACGGTTATGATAAGATTGGACGAATTTGCTATCATCATATCAGTCACCTGCTCCCACAGAGAAAAATGCATAGTAACGTTAAAAAATAAAAATTTATTGCGAAGACGCGTGGCGTCGATTGTTAATCAATAACTGATTGCAGCGAACGGAATAAGTTGCCGGAATTTGCTGCGCAGATATATTATTTGCATCCTTGGCTGCGTCGTAAGTGTATTAGGCATGAAATATTATTATTGACAGCACATAGACAAAATATGCGATTAATTATACAAAAATGTATAATTAAGATATTAGATTAGATTAATATTAGATTAGATTAATTAAGACATTAAATTAATATTAGATTAGATTAAGATTAGATAGAAAGATTATGATTATTATGCTTTAGCAACTCAAAGTAAATTTTATCCTATTCCCCATTTTGTACTTAAAAGTACAACTTCAGTTGGAATTTTATCAGAGAGATAGTATGAAATTATACTGAGAGAAAAAATGTTTAAAAAATAGTAAATATTTCTTTGGTATATACTCTATAATAAATACTCTATCTATTATATTTGCTTAAATCTATAAGTACTTTTATTTGTATAGAGTAAAAATTATTTTCATTAAAAGTTAATTTTCTTAAGGTTTTAAGAAAAAATATATACCTTATTTTTAAAATATTTCATATTAGTATAAGTAAATATATATATATATATATATATATATATATATATATATATATATATATGCTACACTAATATTTAATGAATAAATATTTATTATTTCTTAGATATTTTTTCTCTCAATGTATCAGCATTGTGTCATGGCAATGACTAAACTTTTTCTTAGAAGGAGACTCACCTGATCAAGCGTTTTTCCCGCAACTTCGATGCCATTCACTTCTAAAACCTCGTCGTTGACTGCCAAAAGACCCGTGCTTTCTGCCAAGCCACCCGGTACCAGTCTGCTGATGAATACACCCGGAACCTTCTCGATTCCACCACCAGCTGACGGTGGCAGTATGCGGAAGCTTTCGCCATCTTTGATGTAAAATCCCAAAGGTTTGTCTGAGCCATGTTTCAAGAGGCGCACGCGCCTGCAAGTTTCTGGCAGTATGTCGACGTCGATAATTGCAGACACCTAATTGTAAAAGTGATCATATGATAAATCAGTTTATTAGAGCATGCAGAGAAAGTGCATGACAGAGCACATTGGGTAGCTCACCTGCCTAAAGTCATGTGGATTAGAGATGGCTAAAGGCTTTGGCTTGCCTGGTGTGCCACCCAAGATACTGGATATCAGATTTTTCGTTTTCATTGTACCATATCCATTGATATCCTCTAAGCCATCACCTGCCACAATAACAATTACATTGAATACAGCCTTATTTAAAAAAATACAGCATTAACACAATAATAATTATATTAATTACAGCAATTCAGGATGCTTCAAAAGAATGTTAACATTTATATAGAGAAAAGGCTATTTATGGAAACATAGTAACTAAATTACTTATATGGAGAATTTGCTTAAAAAATGTTAACACTTATATATGGAGAAAAAGTTGCTTCCATATGAATGTTGACTTTTTTTGTAACATTCTATAATTATATGAGACATTAATAATTATATTGTCAGTAAGTACAGTATCATACACAAAGCACAAATACACACAATTAAGAATACGATTCTGACCTTTTCTTTGAATGAAAATTCTAAGCAACGATTTGGCAGCCAGCAGAGCTCTAGCTAGATTATTATCATTGTTGATAGGCAGCAGATCTCCATCCGTAGGATCTGTGTACCAAATGAGGAAGTTCAAATCAGGGCCAATGTCATGCCTCTGTGCCAACAGTTTGCCAAAGTCCTCATAACCCATAGGCTCATTACGATTGATGGAAAACCTGATGATATCAGCGTCAAACTGCAACATGCAATGCGAACAACGCATGATCCTGAGTGTCCCACAATCGACTATTAGTCGAGGAAGCTAGACTATGTATATGTACCCACCTTACTCTTAACGGCGACGATGCCGTTGTCGACCTGGTGCTTACTCTTAGACATAATTGAAACTGTCAAATGCGGTCTCTGGAGTCCAGAGATCTGGGCCCTCCAGTTGCCACCTGGCACGGCGACCTACCGAGCAACTTTCACGGTTTGTTTTCACTCAAGGCACGCACCCCAACTTCGACCGAATGCGTCAAGCCACTTGTGGGGAGGGCGAGGAAATGTGCATACCTGACTGTGACGGCGTGCAAAATGTACTTTAGCTGCGCTCACGGGTCTTCAACGTAATTCCGACATCTCCGCTACGAGCCGCCACCATCTCCTATGGGAAGTGGTAGTAGTGCGTTATAAATATAGGCCTAGTTCCTAAAACCCAGTACACTTTTTGTACACGCATCGGCGTTAATGCCGTCCGAATATCCGTGTGACTCGCACACGATACGCGTCACTCATACACTGCTGCGTGTAGGTGAGCCATGAGCAGCACGGAGTGGCGGAGGGAGCTAGCGGTATCGATCGTCGGACGCTTGGAGAGGAAATAGTGGTGGGAGTCGCGGCGATTTTCCATCCTCTATCGCAAACGTAAGAACGAGAGAAATAGCATTATAAGACGCTGGACAGAAATGCCGTCCTAAAATACGTGTGACACACACTAAGAAAACGCTTGACTCACACTGTCTCGTCTATACGTGAGCAATACACGGTGTCCCGACGACTGTTTCACTCGCTCGAACGTTCATACATTTTTCATTGTTAGCAAGGAAATTACTGTAATGTAAAAATCTTGGAGAAAGGTTTTTAGGAGGCTTTGACAAATGCTTCTTAATAACTATTCTTGAAAAAAAAATAAATATTAGATTTATTTTAATATAGAATTCTGAACCAACATAGAATATGTTGCAACAATATAACGTTTGTGTAGGTTGTCGATCGAAGAAGAGTATTTTTAATTTTATTGTTGCATAAACACGCGAGATATAATTATTTCATATTTTATGCGTTCGAGTATCGTTCCATCGTTATAAAATTTGGTGGCCCTGAGAAGGGCCGATTTTTGTGTCGAAGCAGTTGAGGTCGATAGTAATAAGGAACAATAATTATTTGAAACAGGCGCAAAAATCGGCCCTTTTTAGAGTCACCAAATTTTATAACGATGGAACGATACTCGAACGCATAAAATATGAAATAATTATATCTCGCGTGTTTATGCAACAATAAAATTAAAAATACTCTTCTTCGATCGACAACCTACACAAACGTTATATTGTTGCAACATATTCTATGTTGGTTCAGAATTCTATATTAAAATAAATCTAATATTTATTTTTTTTTCAAGAGTAGCTATTAAGAAGCATTTGTCAAAGCCTCCTAAAAACCTTTCCCCAAGATTTTTACATTACAGTAATTTCCTTGCTAACAATGAAAAATGCATGAACGTTCGAGCGAGCGAAACAGTCGTCGGAACACCGCGTATTGCTCACGTATAGACGAGACAGTGTGAGTCAAGCGTTTTCTTAGTGTGTGTCACACGTATTTTAGGACGGCATTTCTGTCCAGACTTATAATGCTATTTCTCTCGTTCTTACGTTTGCGATAGAGGATGGAAGATCGCCGCGACTCCCACCACTATTCCCTCTCCAAGCGTCCGACGATCGATACCGCTAGCTCCCTCCGCCACTCCGTGCTACTCATGGCTCACCTACACGCAGCAGTGTATGAGTGACGCGTTATCGTGTGCGAGTCACACGGATATTCGGACGGCATTAACGCCGGTGCGTGTACACCCATTATTTAAAAAAAAAAAAAAGATTGTAGTACGACTCAATAAAGGTTGGTTTATGATAGCCATAATCCACTAACTTATGCCGTAAAAAATTAATCAATCATAGTCGAATTATAGAAGAATAATCGATTGTGATTGGTCAATTTTTTACAGTACCGGCATAAAATAACGAATTACGGCCATCATAAACCAGCCTATAAGAACCCATATTCTGATAGCTCCTGTACACAAGACGTGGTAATACTTGCCGCGCGGCAGAAATCCGCGCGACAGCCAATCAATATGTTGTTTTTCCGTAAGAGCTAGAAAGTTATTACGGAAAGCAGCATATTAATTGGCTGTCGCGCGAATTTCCGCCGCGCGACAAGCATTACCGCGTCCTGTGTGCAGGAGCCATAAGTTCTCTTTTAACGATAAAGGACCATCTACAATGGAGAATCGTACGCCGCAGCAGTAAGGAATTGACCAATCGTAATCGATTATTCTTGTAAAAATCCAATATGATTGGTCAATTTCTTATTGATACGGCGTACAATCTTTTACTGTAGATGGCCCTTAAATGAGCCTCTAAAGGGCCATCTACAATGGGATTGGCAGTAGGTAGTAAGATGTAAACAGTAAGCGAATTGACCAACTACAGTTGATTATTAAAGAATAATCGACTATAAAGGCCTTTACACACACTTTCCGTAACAGTAACCGTAAGACTGACAGTAACGTAAGAATTGACCAATCACGTTGAGAATCGTCGAAACATAAGGTCGCCATTTTTGTAAATACTCCATCGTAATTGGTCAATTCTTACGTTACGTCTTACTTACTGTTACTGTTAGAAAGTATGTGTGAAGGCCTTAATTGGTCAATTTGTTTACTGTTTACGTTTTACTGGCCACTGCCAATCTCATTGTAGATAGGTCTTAAAGTCCTTATCAGACTGTCTTCTAATTTTTTTGTAACAATTGTAGATATAAAATGATTTTGTAACTTTTTTCATCGTTATTTCCGTATACTTCTTTGGTTGCTTTTGTGCTCGTTATTACCAGTGTGATCATAGCCATTAACATATAATTTAAAATCATATTTGCAGCAAGCAAAAACGTGGCAATCAAACGTAATAAGCCAAACTTTACAGCTTTTAAATTTTCTTGCACAGATTTGTGTATGCGCTCACACAAGGAGTATATATAACGGAGTAAACGCGTTCCTTTGATTTGGTTGTTCTAAATATTACATGGAGCACAATTTGTGTGGAAATGCGGAACGGTATAGTGATAAACAAATATTTGTATACATTTTAAAAAATTATATTTACTTCATTTATTGCAATTTTTATTAATACGCTTCTTTTTTCAACTTATCCGTTTAATAAAAACATTTTAATAAATATCGTTTACAATTAATGTTTTATAATTCCTCGTTCTGCTTTTCCGTATAAAATATGCTCCATGTAATATTTAGGAGAAATAAAGCTACGGAACAAAAGCGCGGAAATACGTAAATCTAGTTAAGTTCTAGTAACTTTATCTTCCGTATTTCCGCATTTCCGTATTTCCGTACGCTCATGTAATCGCACCTTTACTCTTACTTCCTACTTCTTACTTCCAATGTAGACGTCCCTTTACGTTCACGACTACGCTTATGCAATTGTAAAATGGGCTTTATGCGCGCATTTCCTACAATATGTGTAACATGAACTATAGATAAATGCGCGTATACGCATGAAACGGAACACGGGCAAAGATGTCTGTCTGTTAGTATGTATTGTTTGCTCTTCTAATTGTTGTTCTCTCCCGCGTATTTTCTTGTAAATAACATAAAAAGGAAAGATATTAATACAATAGTAACAAAGCAAGAAGAAGTGAACAGTTATAAGCTATCGTTACAACGTAAAGTCAAAGAATTTTATGCTAGTAATTCTACTAATACATATAATGCATCTAATAATTTTATAATTGTCAGGCACAAACAGTTTTATATTATTACAAATAAATGGAGAATTTCTTTTGCAGATGAGTGATGACGATCCAACAAGTGTCATCAACATGATCAAAGATCTACGCTCTGGTACAGAATCTTATCGCAAGAGTGGTGGAGTTCCAGTGAGATTCTCAGGAACTGGTTATAAACCTTTGGTATTCAATGAGAGTGATGAAGACATTGTCTCACCGAAACGGTCGAAACTCGAAGAGTCTGACACATCTGTGGCTAATAAAAGTCAATCTGACTCTGTGCCAGGCAGTCCTTGGGAATGGCGACGTTTGAAAGGCGAAGTAATATCAGAGACAACTGTCTTGCCTATACAACACTTAATAATTATATTGTGTTCATGTTCAATTAAGAGCAATGGCTGAGACAAAAAAATAGAAAAGTGAAAGTCTGTATCAGAGAAGAAATATATTGCTTTATAGGTAGTATCATTGAGGACTAGACTATCTCACCAAGAAGCAAATGTGCAGCAGCTACACAAGATACGCAGGCAGTTGGAGGAAATGTTTGAGAAGGAGAAAGGTCTCTTGGAAATTCAGACACAACAGGATAAGCAGACCATTCAGCAGTTAGAGGTCCGACTTGACATTGCACGACGAACAATCCAAGATGTGAAAGAGGCAAAGACTGTTGGTGAAAAAGAATGGTGTCAAGTAATGAACAGATTTGCACATACTTCTCTTTTGTGCGATACATTTGCATTTAATTTAGACAATTTCAAGTTTTTATAGATTAATTTTAACGATCTTCAAAATTCATAATTAGGTCAGGGCCAATTTGGAGCAGAAGGTGACATCTTTACTGAATGAAAATGCGAAGTTAACGGAGGAGTTGCGAAATCCCAATGCGAAAGAAGTATCTTCTGCTGCTCCTTCCTGTTCTAAGGATACCATTGAATTCAGTGAATTGCAGATGAAGCTGGAAACCGCGGAAGCCAAAGCGAGTATGCTGGAGGAAAAGATGAAGGATTACCACAAAATACAACAAGACTTTGAGCTGCAGAATGTAGAATTGCAGAACTTGAAAATCAAGATAGAGAAACTCGAGTCGGAGAGAGCATTGTGGGAAGAAGGCAAGATGTTAGTAGGAAGGGCCGCAAGAGCGGGCGAGCTTGAGAAAGAGCTGCACACAGCGAAAAAGACCATAATGGTGCTGAAGGAATCCGTGAAGGAGAAATTGCTTTTGGAAGAACAGATCGCTAACATGTCAAAAAGGTAGTACTTTCCACCCTTTCGCAATACATGTTTCTTGTTCTCTCGTTAACGATACGCGCATATCGGTCGTAGGCTAGAGCATACCGAGAAGGTGGAGCAATTAGCGGCAATGTTGGAGACGAAGCGATGTGAGCTGACGCATCGCTTGCAAGAATACGAAACGATCGGCATTAACGGCGGACCGGTGGCTATGAAGCGAGAACTCAACAGACTTCAGCAAGCCGAGGTGGATCTGAGGTCTGAGGAGGGCCAGCTGCGATCAAAACTGGATGCGGTTCTGCGGGAGTCGCAAAATCTGTCGAAAAATTACGAAGATGCGAAGAGGCTGGCTAACGACGTGACGTCATCCAAGGAGAAACTGAATAAGTTGGTGAGCAGACTTCAGAAAAAAATGATTCTTGTTACCAGGGAGAGAGACAGCTACAGGCAACAGTTGGACTGGTACGAGAAAGAGCTAACGATGGACGGTAATAACGTAATGACTGAGAGAATACCAGCTTTGGAACGCACTATAGACGGTTACAGGTATATTTATGAGCCGACAAGTCTCTTACTGAATTGCGTTGTTTCATTAAAATGTACATAATCCGTATCGCTTCTTTAGAGAGTTGGTCAATAAATTAGAAGCGGATCTCCAAGCGACTGAGGATGTCATTCAGAAGAATGAATGCAATAAACTCAAGGAGGAAATCGAGCAGTTGAAAGGCGAACTCGAACATCGCTCGCTAAAGGGCGACTTCAATTGCAATGTCCGAGTGTTACACTACACGATGAATCCCGCGGCGATCGCAGAGAAACAAGCTGAGGAGAAGCAGGCGGCTTTGTTGCGAGAGGTGGAGGAGCTTCGAGCTAAAATGGCGACGGGAAATTTTGGCGCGACCACGTCGTCGTTGCAGACACAAGGTGGATAGACAGTATCTTCTTCTATCCCCTATCATTTGTTCTTCTCATTCCCTGCGAGGATTTCATCACTTTATATTTATCTTCAATGTAGAAATCGCGGAGCTGAAGCAGACACATGAGATAAAGATAGCACGTTTGAAGGAAGCGTTCAAAGCGTCGTCGCAAGAATATCGCCAAGCGTGTTATCAGCTATTCGGTTGGAGGGTGGATCGCTCAAAGGAAGGTTGTTACAAACTGATGAGTCAATATGCAGAATCTTCGGACGATTTCCTCTTCTTCCATGTAGGCGAAGAAGGTGTAGATCTGCTAGAAACCAGTTACTCTATGAACCTAAGCAATCTGATCGAGCAATTCCTGCAGAAACAGCACAGTGTTCCGATGTTTCTCAACGCTGTACAGTCTGATCTTTTCAGTCATCAAACTGTGACCAATATCGTGACATAATATCGTTCCAATAATCGTTTCAAATAAAGTTGATATTTTCTATAGTCGGCTAATAAATCTTTCGATCTGATGTATACGATAGTGTCACATCATTCGTTTTATCACGCCTATGTCCATTTTTATGCACTTATACTTGTATATATCTTTATACTTGTATACGTACAGAAAAAACTTCGCCGTTTTATTAATTCCTAATCAATTCGCGATTAATTGAATATAAATATAATGACGTCCCTTCATACGATTCCTCCGTAAAAATCGATACTAAGGAAACTCGCGGAACTTTTAATTGTGCACAAAATTACATGTAAATGATAATAATCGTAAGTAGCAATAACGGTAACGATTATTTATAGCAGAAAGAAGCATGAGGCGGCTACCAGCCTGATTTCAATGGCCAGAGCTAGACGCTAGAGCAGTAATAGAAACCTTGCTCCGCGAGCAGCACGCATCAGCACGAGAGGGAATACGTAGACACTCACGTGTCCGTGTCCGTGAAGCTCATGGACACGGTCGCGTGAATGTATGCGTATCCTGTCCCGTGCTGATGCGTGCTGCTCGCGGAGCAAAGTTTCTATCACTGGCTGGTGGCCGCTCTTAGGCTTCTCACTTAGGTTTGTAGTAAAAATTTGGGCGTTGTTGATTTACGTGTCTCGATGCAGACCTATTTTATCCTGCGTCGATAAAAATGTTCCCTATTACTGTCGTTACGAAAAATGTCTACAATAACGGTTCAAGATACATTTTTGCGTTGAAACGTTGCATTTTACTATTGATGCAGTTTACTATTGATTAAGAAGAGATTTGCGACAAAATTTAATTTCTTAGTATAACTTTACAATAGATATTTATGATACAGCGAGTTACATTGTATATACGTAATAAACTCTCCAAAGTAATAATAAACAGTTACGAGAAATCATTTTAAAAGAAATCATTATCAATTAAAAATAATTCCGAAACAAAGTTTGGAACTAAAACCGAGTTAAAATAAATTGGAAACAAAGGCTTGGGTTTAAGATAATTTTTCTAAACTTTCAAGAAAAGTGCAAGCAAGAACGTATTAAAAGTATACAAATTATCCTTTATCTCTAACTTTATTATATAATTATTTTATAAATTTTTAGAAAAATTGTAGATATTTTTTAGCAAAATTATCGAGATATACAATCGCTGCCTGACATTCGGATTTCCTTAGTTTGATTAATTGCTACGCGGATCCACCTTTAATCTTATCGCTATCGTACAGCATTTCGATGATGTCCCTCTACACGATTCTTCCATAGAAACTCTATGCTAAGGAGACTCGCGGAACTCTTATTGCGCATAAAAATCCTGCGAAAGGACGTAACGTCGAAGTTGAAAATCGCGTCGGGCCATCGGCGGTGTCCCGCGGGAGACGTTACCACTCGGCCGCGCTCGTACGTGCCCAGAAAAGGGGAGACCTGTCCCAGAAGAGCGATTCCCATTGCTTTGTTCGCCGAAGGAGCCGTGACGGTGGTCTTCATTAGTGACTAAGCCACTATATGGGATCTCTGCCCGCTATATGTGAACAAATGCGTACTCACACGTTCCTAAAATTTATCGTTATATGTATGTGTGTGTGTGTGTGTGCACTGGGTGACCGAAAGCATTTCGTGATAATGAAGAGAGAGGTGTAGAGAAAGAGGAGGACGAAGGAGAAGAGAGAGAAAGAGAGAGAGAGAAACAGAGAGAGAGAGAGAGAGAGAGAGGGAGAGAGAGAGAAAGAGAGAGAGATCACAGACACGTCTGCGCTAGCTGACGACGGGAACTCGATATAACGGTGCCAGCTGCGAAGGGACTCGAGTCGACGGGAACTCCCGAGCTGAAACTCCATTATCCTTAATTATAATCGCGTTTAATCGCAAACTCATCCCGCTCTCCCTCGCATACGTGCCACCCTCGCGCCTCACTGATCCTCTCCCTCATCCTCGTCTACCTTGTGTATCCTCTTCGCGTCCCGCGGCCGCAGCCGCAGCCGGTTATCAATCCGGAATCAGCGCGAGGGTGTTTCTCCACGACAGGGATGAAGCTCCAGGACGGACCCGGTGAAGAAGATTATCCGTTACCACGCTAGTAGGGAGAACGAGAGAACGAGAGAAAGAGAGAGAAGGGAGGGGGAGAGGAAGGGAGTAAGGTTTGCGCTATCCTTTCCTGATCGTGGCACGTACAAAGTGGCCTAGGTGTATATATCGACGGCGAGAGGCGGTTTAAGTGCCACAGGAGAGCGAGAGAGAGTAAGTGCCACCGGGAAATATCGACGTCGAGGGGCCGCGTGCAGGTGTATGATTAATACCACGGTGCCATAACGAGACGAGCGCGCCTGTGCGCGCGTGCTGCAGAGATATCGCGTGCGGGAATTGATTCTAATGAGATCTCACGCGAGAGAACCATCCGCCGGTGATCATTGCCACCGTGAAACGCGCTCGCTTTGATCTCACCCGGAGCCAACTTTGATCAGACACTACGTTATTTACGTGAGAGCGTCAGCATACAGTCGCGGTTTTAGAAACTCACGCGCTCGGCGACGGGGGTAGGTAGGTAGGTAGGTAGGTAAGTACGTATGTAAGCGATGCGCACGGTGGCTTTCTGAATGGAACGTCTATTTCTTCAAGTCGTTCGAGCGAATGATCAATTTTCTCGATCCAGCGGGATCAAAGCGGGGGCAACTCGGGTGTGTGTCCTGCGCCGCGATTGCACGCGAATCCATCCTATTCTCCTCACCTGAATTCGTGCAAAAATAATGGACTGTAAAAATCGCATACGCCCATACTCGAAGGAACGTGCAAGTCGTCCCGTTGTCTTTGCAGCTGCGTCTAGATTTCTTTCCGACTCCTTGGTCGACTCGTTTGGTCTCCGGTTAATGGGAAGATCAGGTGAAAATCTTATTTACACGTCGGCGACTTACCCTAGTCGCGTACACCTCGCTTGGCAAAGCCACGACGATCAATCGTGATTTCGCGGGAGAGCTTTTCGCACAATGTATCCTCGGCCTTGACAGATCTTTTCGCGGATTCTCGCGAGGTCACGATTGTTCAGTCATGTAAAAGGATATGTACGCGGCCGTGGCCGGGGCGCACCGTGGCGAAAGATAATCAATCGGGGTGCAGGGTAAACTGGTATCTTATCAAAGTTGGCCCATCTTCGCGAAACTTACTCGCGTCCCCTCGTCTTCCAGGTCGTCGGAGGGTGACGAGTCGGCACGAGCGCCAGCGCGAACTCTCGCCCGCGAGAGGGTAGGCCAGGTGGTGTGCAGTGCGCGCGAAGCGCGAGGGTAATGGAAATCTAGAGAGAGAGAAAGAGAAACACAGCGAAAGCAAGAGGATGTGTGGGAGACAGAATTGGGGTTAGATGAGGGAGAGCAAGACGCGAGAGAGAGAGAAAGAGAAAGAGAGAGAGAAAGAAGAGAGAGAG